CCTATGGCCTCCTCCAAAATGGAGGGTTAATTAAATTGCAGAAATGCATCTGTCACAACAGCACAACAACTACTAGCTGACAATGTGGCAGGTCAGCACTTCCAGTACTGGAACTAAATTTGTTGCTCTGATATTCTTGGAACACTCATGCTTGCCTTCTTATGCAAAGTATCATAACTCTTGTTATAAAGATGATACATTGGCCAATTAAGACCACAGTTAAGATCAAATGAAAGATTGAGAGCACACTGGAAAGACCTGAACTCCAGCCTGCAATACAATCCCACCAGTTGTTCCTTATTTTCTTAATGATGGCCACTATCTTAGTGATTTCCTGATTCATATGTAGTTTTGAAGCAAATTATTTTTGTAACTAATTCTAATTCCTTTGAAATGCAGGGTACAAAAGTAACCCTTGTAAATCTTGGAGACTATGAGCTAATGAAACAAGTGCCAGTGTTATATATAATTTTAGTTGTTCTCCGATCACTCAATGTCCAAATGGGAACTCTAAATACTCTGGCTGTATTACAGCAACTCCTATGCATATATCTTGTTTGCTAAATGAATTGTGTATTAATGAAAATATAATATATATAATAAAATTATATAATATCATTAGTGAAAATGGAAAGGCTCATAATAGCAAGCGATCTAGTGATGCTAGATAGGGAAGGGAGGCTGACAGCCACACAACACGGCTTCCGCAAAAACAGGTCCTGCCAGACAAACCTTGTGGAATTCTACAAGATTTCGAGATGGCTAGATGGAGGGGATGCAGTGGATGTGGTTAACCTGGATTTCAGCAAGGCCTTTGACAAAGTGCCCTATGATATTCTGGTTGAGAAACTGAGGAGTTTTGGGATACACCAAAGCATTGTCAGGTGGATTAGGGCATGGTTGACTGATCGAAAGCAGAGGGTAATCATTAGTGGGGAATCATTGGGATGGCGGCCAGTGAAAAGTGGGGTCCCCCCGGGCTCTGTCCTGGGGCTGATCCTGTTTAATCTTTTCATTAATAACATGGAAGAAGGGGTGAACAGTCTGCTGATCAAATTCGCAGACGACACTAAAACTGGAGCAGTGGCCACAAATGAGGAGCAGGTACTCCAGACCCAAAAGGATCTGGACAGACTATGGAAGTGGGCAGGAGACAACAGGATGGCATTCAATGTGGATAAGTACAAGGTCTTGCACTTGGGCCATAGGAATAGGTGTCATAAGTACATGTTAGGTGACAAGTGGCTGGAGAGCAGCACTTGGGAAAGGGACCTCGGGGTACTGGTTGACTGCAGGCTAAACATGACTCAGCAGTGTGATGTGGTGGTCAAGAGGGCGAACGCCACCCTTGGTTGCATAGCCAGAAGTGTGGCTTCTAGATCGAGAGGTATTACTACCACTCTACATGACTCTGGTGCACCCACAACTGGAGTATTGTGCTCAGTTCTGGGCCTCTCATTACAGGAAGGATTTGGCAGGTTAGAGTCATCGCAGCGTAGGGCCACAAGGTTGGTGGCCGGTTTGCAGGGGATGGGGTACAAGGCGAGACTGAGGGAACTGGGTCTCTTCAGCCTGGAGAAGAGGAGACTCAGAGGGGATATGTTGGCGACATACAGGTATGTGAGGGGATGTCACATGGAGATGGGTAGAGACCTGTTCTCCCCTGCAGAGGAAGGCAGGACGCGCTCCAACGGAGCAAAGCTCAGGGAACCAAGGTTCCCTTTAGATGCCAGGAAGCACTTCCTGACAGTTAGGACCCCAAGGGTGTGAAATGGGCTTCCACGAGAGGTCATTGAGGCCCCATCGGTGAGGGCGTTCAAAGACAGGCTGGACATGCACATGGTGGATGGCCGTGAGCGGAGCCGGCTGGTGCCGGAGGTCAGACTAGATGGCCCGGGAGACCCCTTCTGACTCTGTTTCTAATCACAACTTGTTCTAACCCACATGTACCCATGCCCTGCAGATTGTATTATTGAATTTAAGATTGAATGAACAAGGAGGGATTTCTTATTTTAAAAGAAAGCCCTGCCTGCTTAGCTACATATTGAGAAAGAATGTCAAGTCACCTCCTTACATCATAACATTTAGAGAAATTAATCTCCCAATCTGCAATGGTTCCTTGTGTGATCTCTCATTGTCAATTTTCATATCTTATCCACACACTATATAAGAAGTAAAGAAATTATCAATCTCCATCAGCACTCTAAGTAGACCTTTCTCTTTGGTTTGGAAGTTTACATATTCCATGGCTTCTGATCATATATGTTTTGCCCTTGGTAACTAAAACAAGGTTTTATACATGCTCTTTAAGCACTCCTAAGTCATGCAAAGCTGAATCAGACTAGACTTTCTGGTGCCACGGGCAGCATGGGCAGCCAGAAGCAAAAGACAGCTTCCCTAGCTAACTTCAAGCCACATTTCTTTATACATATCCAAAAACAGTTTTAGCTGCAAAACATTCTTAGACTGACCTTTATACATAGTTCTGAATTCCTGGACTTGTGTTTAAACCTTGGATATACTAATTGCAGTGAGCTCAACATTTTGGATTACTTAGCTCTCATGTTAATCTCCATGATCTGACCACATGTGAGGATTTAGGAGCTCTTCAAACACTTTGTCTGGATGACAACCAAGAGCTCAGTGCAGACTTACTCCCCTAAAAGCATGTATTCCTGTACTGATGACCACAGTGCTCAGTTCCTTATTTCTTCATAGAGAAGACTTGCACAACCTGAGCAACAACTAACTTCAGAAACTGGTCCTTAACTTGTTTTATCTTCCTCTGAACTGTAACTGGTTTACATCCCATAGAACCCAGTTCTATGTACATATTCATGACAAAGCTTTTATTTTAACCTAAGTGTTGCAGGTGTGTGTTACATCTCCCCACTCCCACTTCTGTACCATCCAAGGGGAGCTACCAAAGAGCACAATGACTCTGCTTTAGTGGGATCCACCAAACTGGTCAAAAAGTAGGATTTGAATACGCCTAGTCAATAACATACAAGACAAAAACCTAAGATACAAAGATTTAACTTAATCTACAACTATGTCTACGTATGAGAATGTTGAAGTCTAAGAGAGTCTTGATAACCCAATTAACATCACAGAATGGCTATTGCATTAACATGGGATAAATACTCCCTTGATTATACACCAAAGTTCATCTTTTTCTGTCTCTTCAAATGGAATATGTAAGCTTATTTATGCACAAGTGTGATCCCAATAAAACTTCACAGTAACATGTCAAATTCGCCCTGTCATTCTGCTGACCACCAAGTTTGTCCAACAATTAGATGCTTCCTGCCCCTTTTGTCATAATCATCCTGTTGAAAGAATACTAACTGCATATATCCTGCATTTGCCCCAAATGTGTACACATTCTTTATACTAATACTGATTCGCTATATTCCTATGACCCTGAATGCAATGAGAATATAAAGGATACTTTTATCACATAAAAGATAGAACAGATACAGATCCTTTAATTACAGGTTAAGTGTCTTCAATGTACAACTTTAGGTAGCAGGTCAGCAAATAAAAATCACTGTCATTTATACTTCCTGATTGTTGAAAGAACACAAAGGCACCTTCAATAGTCTACTGAAAAGGTAATGTGGGAACAAGAACACAGAGAAAAATTAGAAACTATATGGCATATCTATTTCTTGCTACCTCTCCAAGTGAGGCACGAGTGCAATGTAATCACTGAGCTGTGAGAGTTGATTTCTATGTTGGAAATAAGATTTTATATATCCTTGATTCCTTAATTTCTCTTATCCATGTAATCCCTCCTCTTCCATCAGTAAGTAAACTTAATTCAGTTGTGTTGTCTTATTTTGTTCCATTTGCTCATAAGAGTACTCTTAATTGCATTACTTTTTCTATATAAATAGAAAGCCTGCTGCCTTTAATTTCAAATGTTTACTGCTACTTCCTCTGCCCTCCTTTGAAATGGACTACAACAAAGAAGGATGATTAAATCACAAAAATGTTTGAGTTGCAACATTTGAATTTGATATAGATAGAATAATTCTGATAGCTTTTGTTCATCTAGACACCACTGCCTCTCCCTGACAAATCTTACTGTTATGGTCACACATACTGATAGATTATACTTATGCATTTCTAGACTGAGCTGTGTTATAGCTTCTTAAGAATGAAGGCCAGTAATTCTCCTTTACTCATTAATGACAATGCTGCATCCAAGACAGTTACAATGCTACATTGTAAACCATTCTATGATCTTTGATAGCTGTGAATGGGATACAAGATCAGTAAATAAAGTACAATACCAAAGAAAGCAAACAAACCACCTTTATGCTTAATTAAATTGAAATCCTTAGAACCTTTGCATCTTACCCAAATGTAAGCAAAGCTATAAATTCAGTTACTAGTGAGGACAAAGATTTTCACATTCGCAGCATTGTCAAATACATGATTAGCGCACTATATAAAACAGAGGTGCTCCAGCCATAGCACTTTACTGCCACAACCTAGAATCTTCTTTCAAGGCCAATATAGTTTTTTCTGAGTTCCATGTTTACTAGAAATTCCTAGTTAATTCCTTTCCAAGGAAAAGCTCTCTTTTTAAAAATAAGAAATGGATTAAAAATGCACATTAACAGTCTTTGACACCTATGAACCTGGGAAACCTCTTTATAGCAGGCCTAATCAAAAGGTTCCTGCAATTCTAGAATTTGCCTAGCTTTGCATCACCTATGGTGGCCAAATGTCTCCCTACTTATTTTGCATTTGAAAAGATATATGGAGGAATGTTGGGTGGGCATATGGGTGTGAGATGGGGTAGGGTATAGTAGAAGTACAATGCCAGGTAACAAAAGGATGGCTTAAGAATTCTTGAAACTTATTTTCCAAGGACTAGGAAGTGTAATAGCTTGGATGCAGCCTAAGTAGTAAGTTTACTATTCAGGTAATCAAAATACATCTGATACAGATTCAACATAAGCATCTATAATTAAATGTAATTTTCATACCTTTTGGCACTTAACAAGGTGGTATGGGAACCTACATGCCCTGATCTGATGACTTTTGTCATATGGACACTGCATCAGTTTCTCAGGATCCAAAGCATCTACAAGGGAAAAAAACCACCACAAACACACACAAAGAAAATGAAGACACACTTTAAAATCTAATGGGCCTCAAATGTATTATTTTCACAATTAAAATGTGGAAAGGCAATAACATATTGGAATCAGATAACTAAAGAAAGCTCTTGTCTTAGTATTGCATAGTCACAAAATTACTTCAGCTTTGGTAGCTAGTTACATTTACTTGTAAGATTTAGGTGATATGGGTACTTAAGAAAATATAGTCAGCAGTGCTGCAGATGTTAATGAACACTTCCATGAAATAAACAGAAAGCTGCAGAGAAACTAAATCCCTGAAGCTACTCAATTAGGCAGTCCAATTAAAAGAGTTATTCAAAGAAATTGAAGAGGTACCACTACATTGTCCCCACTGGTCCCATAAGACAAGAAGCCTAGGTTTCAGTGCCTAGGCACCAAGAGAGGGACACATTGTGTTTGATTCTGCTGTGTGATACCATATTGAGATTGTTTTCAGCACTGAAAGCACAAGAGGATTCTGAAACACTGAGTCATTATGGTTGCATGTCCCTGAGAATTACAGTTTCCCTTCGCTTTGTTGAAACCCTAAAGAATCTGCAAGGTTCTCTGAATAAATGACCAATCCCAGAATTAACCAGCGAAGGCTCTACCTAATATTCCTTTTCTTATGTAATTGCTTCCACATTTCCACTAATATGCTGTTAGAACGAAATGCCCTCCACCTGACTAGCAAAGGGCTGCATAGTCAGCAAAAAGGCTTATACAAAATAATCCCAGATTGAATGGTTAGAATTTACTAACTGTATGGTCCATTTTAATACAAGCTTTTTATTTTTTGCCACATGTGACTTGTTGCAGCAAGGGCAGCTATATCACATCTACAGGGCAACATTTTGGCTGAAAGTACTGTGTTTCCAAGAGCGGCCATTCCTACTTGCCCTTATGCCTTACTTTATGTGAGACAACCCTTCCTCATATTGAGGCTGGACCTTCTGCACTTCTGGGCAGCCCTCCTACTTAGCACATCCCCAGTCTTCCTTCCTAGCATGAAGGTCTTCCACATATCTGAGTGCTCATGGAGCCTCACATATGCCAGGAGAGTCCCAGTTCTGTTCCTGAACTAGAAGCTAGGAAGGGGTGGAGAAACATCCCAGGAGTTGCCATATGCTTTGAAGGCTCTAAGAGGGTCTCCTCAGCTCAATGACACTACAGGGATGATCTCTCCCCATGTGTCCCCAGCTTCAAGAGCGCCTTTTCATCTTACATGGTACTTTAAACATGCTCTCAGAACTTGGAGATGCGTAGAAGGCAAGGTTTTACCCTGGACTTAGTATAAAGTTTCAGAGATGCACTGCAAATTCAAGGGCTAAACCCTTCCTCTTCTAGGAGGACAGAGTTCTGGTAACCATGTATTTTATGATGGCTATCAAGATGACACGTAATTTGTGCATCCCAGCCTTCCCATACAATATTGTACCAAGCCTTTTCCTGTCAATTACTTTTGTGAATTGTAATTCCTTGCCTCATTTTGTTCTCCAGTGAGCTCCAAATAGCTGAATAGTTGAAGACAAAACTCTGTTTACCTGTTATCAGCAAAATAAAAAAAAAATCTATTTCCTAAAACCACTCCCCAGCTAAATGAATCTCTATAGCTTCCATATACCTCTTAATCAGAGTAGCACTCTTTGCTGAAACCTTGATTCAAAGTATAGAAAACCTATAACTAAGTCTATCTGTTCTCTGCAGATACTGAGGCAGAGTGTAAATCCATGGGTCCTCAAATATGGCCCTGGGGCCGGATCTGGCCCGTCATGCCCATCTGGATCTGCCGCTCATGCACCTGCCACTGCCCACCTCATCCCACGTGCAGGGAGGCAGTGGTTTGCTCACTCGGAGAAAATGATCTCTAAGCGAGCAAGCTGCTCCCTCATGCGCCCGCCTTACAGCACATGTCCGCCCCTGCCTTGCCTCGCCACGCATCCCACCCCTGCATGCACCCACCACCGGCACCTATTGACTGGCCCCCTGGTGAAAAAGTTTGAGGACCCCTGGTGTAAATGGTTTTCAAAGGAATTCACCATTTGCCACTGACCAGCCCAGACCTGCTCATAGCAATTCTGCTGCCACAGGTGCCTTCAGACTAAGCTCTCTGGAAAAAAAAAGTCTGGCTGTATTTTTGATGTGGAAGGAATACACTTTGTACACAATACCAAAAACATTGCTCTGTGACAAAATAGGAACACCCCAGACAATCTGTGTGAACATATTTGAAATGTTTCTTCTTTATGAGCAACTTGGTGGGGTGTTAATAAAAATGACTCCCCCCCCCACCCACCCACCCACACACAAAGCTGCTCTTAGCCCAAGAAGAGAATCTTCCATTGCAGCATCCTGGTGTTAACAGGAGCTTGGGCAAAAGGATTATTTTCAGCACAACTGCATGCAGATTGTTACAGAAAAACAGATATAGTAAATGCACTCACATATTTAACTTCAATTTTGACCTTTGGAATACATTGAACAAGGGAAAAATGTATAACCTACCCTGTACTAGATTTCTTAGGCTTTGTAAGGCAAAAAAGTCTCAAAGACTTGATAACTTACCATAGCTGTTTTCACTTTCCATATTTTGAAAGCTGATGGAATCTTGCACAAAATTATGGTGACTCTGCTGCTTGTATTTGCATGCTTCCAAGTAATATCTGCCCTAAAAATCAAAAACCAAAGTAATGAAAATTATTTCAGTTTAAGCAAGTTAGATCGTACAGCCATTGCACACATGGCAAATGCCCATGTACATGCAGAGACAGTGCTAGCGCTTTTCATTTCCTTTCAGATTATATGAAACAGACATCACATAAGCATGCATACTTTAACTTTCTTAATGTAAGAACTGAAACAGGTAACTGCTACTAAATAAAAGTATTTTTAAACACATAGCATCATTTTGAGCATTTTCATAACTGGGAATATAAAAATGCAATTAACAGAACCCCACTTCGCACAGAACAAATTATAACAATGCTTTTAATAATGTTATTCTTCTCTGGTTGTTCACCTACATAAAACTGCAGTATCTTCTGAGCCAATTTGTACCAATAATTTCATACAATTAGCTTGCCCCAGGACACAGGTTTCTAAATATGGGATTAACTTCACTTGACTTCTGCCTCCCTTATCAGATGCTAAATGGGTTTGTTAATTAGTGCATTAATAAATTTAGACACTATTTTTAAAGGACTCAACAAGCTGAAAGAAGCATACCAGTGTGGTGTAGTGGTTAAGAGCATGGGACTGGGACTCAGACGATCTGGGTTCAAGTCCCCTCTCAGTCATGGAGCCAATTGGGCCAGTCACAGACTCTCAGCCCAACCTACCTCACAGGGTTGTTGTTGTGAGGATAAGATGGAGGAGATGTAAGCTGCCTTGAGCCCTTTGTAGGAAAAAGGCAGGATATAAACTGAATAAATAAATTAAATACCTACAAGTGAAAGCTGTCCAAACAGGCAGAAATAGTAAGCATGCTGCTATCAGATTATATATTTAAGCAGAAGCTGCTAAGGAATTTCAACAGTCATGCTTGACAAGCAAAGAAACTTCTTTAAAATGAGGAAACTATTAAAAAGCAAGTTGAAAAAGTTTAACCCTCTTGACTCCCCTTGCAAGATGTTTGAAGGTTACTCAAAATCACAGGAACAGGTACTCAGCCAGAAAGAGTACCACAAGGCAGCACTGGTAGCAGCAAGACAGGGAGTGTTTGACAGCAGAGTCAATAAAGGTATTAGAGAAAAGGTGGCTTCCTTCAGAAAATGGAAGTCTTGCCCAAATGAGGGGAACAAAAAGTTTGCAAACAAAATGCAATGAAACAATGAGGTATGCAGAGCTATATTTTGAGGAGCATATTACTAACCAAGAGCATATCAAGGTCAATAATAAAATACTTTCAATGTATCAGAAGCAGGAAAGCAACAAAGGAAGCTGTTGAATTATCAGATGGCTATGGAGTTAAGGAAATACTAAAAGAATAGGGAGAATTCTGTTCATCAGCCTTCCCTCCAGAAGATGCAGGACAGATATCTAGGCCTGAATATACCATATTTTTCACTCTGTGAGACGCACTTTTTCCCCCTCAAAAGTAAGGAGAAATGTCTATGCGTCTTAGAGCGTGAATGTGTGTGTGCGCCTGACGCCCGGGACACTGCCGGCCCACCTGCATCATGTGGCACCACCTGGCTGGCATATGATCAGCACACACTGCTCCACCTCCCCCCGCCCCTGGTGCAGGTGAGAGCTGTGCCGCTCAGCGGAAGTGGTGTGGAGGAGCAGCAGCTGCGGGCTTTAACCCGCCGGCCGCACGGAGAGACGGACTGCTGGCCCCCACCGCCCAGGAAGACCTGCCGCTCTCGTACCGCCAGAAAGACCACCGCCGGCACGCTGCCAGCCTGCCTGCACCACCTGGCCGGCACATGCTCAGCACGCCCTGCTCCACCCCCCCTCCTCCAGCGCAGGTGAGAGCTGTTAATCACAGGTCAGTGTGCATTTTCAAATGGCAACCTGTCTTTTAATGAAGCCCATGGGGAATGTGCCTGTGATTATCAGGAAGCTTTCCATGGATCCCTCCTCTAAAAACTAGGTGCGTCTTATGGACAGGTGCGTCTTAGAGTACAAAAAATACGGTATGATTTCAGGAAGAAAACCATTACCACAAGATGGGCACTTATCTGGTTGGCTATTAAAGGTAATTATACAAATGCATGGAGGATAAACTTTCATTAACTACCAGTCATGACAGCAATATGCTATGTCCGCTATTAGAAACAGCATCCTCTGTACACCACTACCTGCAGAACATGCTACTGCACTCATGTCCTACTTATGAATTTCCCACAGGCAAGTGCTTGACCACTGTGTGAACAAGAAGCTGCACTAGATGTACCCTTGGTCTGATTCAGCGCAGTTAAGGGAAGAAAAGCTCTGCTCTAGGCATGCACTTAGAAAGCTAAAGCATTTTTCAGTCCAGCATGTTTGCAAGTTATTAAAAGAGAAAATAAGGCTGCAATCCTATATGCACTTACCTGGAAGTAAGCTCCATTTAATATAGAAGGGCTGCTTTTAAGTAGACCTGCAATGGATTGCACGGCAAGTCACCAAATAACTGCTCTACCCTGTTCATTTAGTGTCACTTGTATCTTTACAACAACTATTTTGAATATACCTGGTCGTAGTTCATAGCTAGTCTCTGAATGTTTTCTTCCTTCTAAATTGCTATTATCTTCCTGCTTCTAATACACCAGGATGATTCAGGAGCAAAAAGAAAAACACAAAGCAAACACATATGTACAGTTATTAACCACAGAGGGAAGGTCTGGTATAATACATCTACATCTCTGCTCAAGACAAATTCTATATTTTATTTCATTTTGTCCTTGTTCTCTCCCTACAAGATTTGGCTTGGGTACATTTCCAGTAACAATTTACTATTGGTTTCTTACTGATGACTCCAACCTGGATAGAGGTTCAAGTGTGGCTTAGTCATACTTAAGAGTAAATCAATAAAACTATCAGCTACTCTTTGATTAGCCATCCTAACTTTTGGCCCAATGATTTCAGGGCTCTGTTTTAACTATAACCAACTCAAGGAAATTTGATTTGATGATAGTTTACTTTATTTGCTCTGAGATATCAGGCCATCATTCTGAGGGACAATAACTAGTTGTCCATCTGGAAAGAGATAATAGGAAGGAATTGCAAAAGAGAATTCAAGAGAAGTCCAAGATATGGACCATATCCATACAACTTTGCAGGATGTGTGTAAAGAAACTCATTTTTATTTTTCCAGTAATTATGTCTAAGTACTGCATAATAAATTGCAAGTTCTTTTAAAAACCTGAATAGCCTGTCCTTTATGCAAAATTATACGAAGATACAATTACTTATTTATATCCCACCCTTTTCCCTTCAAGGAACTCAAGGGGCTTACATAATTCTCCTCTCAAACTTATCCCCTGTGAGATAGGTTAGATTGAGAGTCAGTGCCTTGGTTTAAGTCACCTAGTGAGCTTTGTAGTTGAGTGGGGACTAGAACTGAGAGATCTCCTGGCTCCCTCTCCAACCATTATACTACACTGCTCCTTGTTCTTGTCTTGCCTTTCTCTCCATTTAAGATACGTACAAAACTCTTGCATCAGGTATTTTTAGACATGAATCAGTTAATATATAGTTATGCTATTTAGTTTTTAGAGTTAAAAACAGTCAGTTTCCAAAGACAGTATTAGCCATAGTTTCTGGTTCAATATTTAACATTTATCCAGCACATTTCACACATCAGTTCAGTAATCCTTATGACAACATAGTAAGGCAGGCCAGTAGTTAGACCAATGCTGCAGAACACAGAGAAACAAAATATCTTGCCCAAAGCATCATAGTGAATTCATTTGAAAGAATTATGGCCTAGTTAGCTATGTCCTCCACTTGCTGTTCACCACCATCAGCCAAGACATTGGTATACTGAATGTTCCAGATTGTATTTCTCAATTAAAAGTGGAAGAAAGAAACAACTACAGCAGTACAAACAATATGTCTTCCAACTGTAGAGATTCAAATTTGCTCCTCACTGGTATAATGCCACTCAACAATTACTGTCATCTTCCAACAAAAGATCAAGATAATCAATCCCACAACCTTGTTGTGATTACAGAAGCAGAACAATGAAGCTCAAAACAGGGAAATCAATTACTTTTGCAACATCAATCTTAGCGGGAGCCTATTGTACAACTATCCTGACCTTATAAGCCCCAGATGAGAGACAAAAAAGCTGAGAAATGAAGTAGGCCCTAGAGGGATGTTAAAGGAAAGGGCCACTGGGCATAAAATGGAATAGAGCTCCTTAACAGTAGGCCTATTGAAATAAACAGGCCATGGTTAATCTAAGTCCCATTCGGTTCAATGGATCTACTCTACATAGGATGTAATCGATTTATCCACGTAAACACAACTCCCCGATAGTGCTGATCTCTGCATGTGACTGGGGGAGTGCGGAACGCTCCTACAAGGGATGGAATCCTGGGACACGAAACCTAGTTCTTAATTCCTAACTGCCAAAATCTGGCCGGGCGAAATATCCAGCGGCAGAAGATCCACTGCAGGCTAGGCTCGATACATAGGATCCCAACGCTCTCCTATCGATCCAACTCGACCTGTCGAGGAAGAAACCCGACAGAAGCTGCTCCTTTGCCCTAATCAATTTCCCCAACCATGGCCTCGTGAAAGGCAAAAAAAAAAAGGGGGGGGGATGAAAAGTCATCCCCGTATATCCCTGTGGAACAGCTTCATTCTTCTTCTCATATGCTAATCAGACTGATATCACTACCTCGCATATCCTGGCAGGTAACAGCAGGCTAAATACACGTGATTAGAACAGGTTCTTGCACACTTACCTTGGGAAAAAGGGGCCGGCATAGAGTTACGGTGTGAGTAGAAAGACTAACTGAGGAAACGAGCTGGAAACCATGAGAACTACCAACAGAAACCAGGGAGCAGAACGGACCAAGGCTCTCTGTCCAACTCGGGCCTCACTGGGGATGGGCGCTCCGCAGCATGCCGCCCACCTTGCACCGCGTGCTGAACCAGGCCGCACTTGTGACGCCTCGCGCGACCGCTGCTCTTGTAGCAACCGGCCGCTCGTTCTTAGGCGGCGCCAGGTGTTGTGCGGGGCGGGGCGATGGCGGCCGACGGGCCACGCCTCCCTTCTTACGCGTGTTTGATCCAGCCCAGCAGCACGCTTTAGTCGTGTGTTGGCGAATTGGTTTGCAGAAGGAATTTTTTTGAAAGTGGTGGGTTCTGTTCTTGGAGCAGACGAGGAGGAGAAGCAAGGTCGGGTCGGCTGAAATTCGATTGTGGCCAGGGTAGTCTAAAATGGAGTATTATGGAGGGGGAACTTTCTGGCACTATGTTCAAACTTGGCTTCATCCAGATGTTTTGCACTGCTTGTCCTAGCATTCGTTGCCTGCTTGAGCTGATAGGTGTTACATCCTAAACATCTAGAAGATATTCTGGTCAGGAGAATGCTAAAGTGGGGCATGCAGAGAGATGTTGTGGTATCTGGCATATCATTTATGTGACAGTTTGTCAAACCTTTAATAAAATCCTGATCAAGAATCTTTGAAGTATCGAATACTTTATATTTTTTTCTCCCGATGATTCAGTGACATTAACATCCAAATTCTGATTAGTAAGTGTCTCCTTAGGTTGTTGTACTCTAATTGCCCCACAAACTAAAGCATGACTGTAATCAGTGAGTTTCCTTTCCCCTTGATTATTAATCCCCTTGTGTTGTTATCTGTACTCTTTTTTGTTACCTGTTTATTGTGGTTTTAAGGGAATTCTCTTACTCTGGGAATATAGCCAACAGAGTGAGAAAGAAAGGTCTTTTGGGAGTATTGCCAAGCAGGTCAGGAGAAAAATAGCTAAAGGAGTCAAAATATTTTTCTAAGTTCAAAGAAGTCTGGCATTTATTGAAATAGCCTTAGGGTTTCAATGCTTATTCAGAGTTGGCTTCAGGTCTCCTGAGAGCTTATGAGCAAAATACCTGCAATGAGCCTTCCCAAGGTGAGTTTATCATCTCACTGCCATTGTCATCAGCTGCTCTTACTTTTCATTCTCTTATCCTGGCTATCAGTTGCTTGCTTGATAAGAGTAGGAGGAGGAGATCATTGTTCCTTCTTGTCACCACTATATGGTCTGGGCCAGAGTAATGAGACAGATAAACAAGCAGGCTGCAATGACAAAGAGCAGGAGCAACTCCAGGGGGCTGTTACTAGTTGGCCTCTGGTGGGTTGTGGACCCTTGGTGAATGCCTAACCATGCCTGCCTTGGATAGCAGCTCTGCCTGCCTGCCTGCCAGGAATTGGTGCATCAGTGCCCTATAGATCAGGCTTCCCCAAAATAATACCTTCCAGATTTGTTGGACTACAACTCCCACCTTTGGCCATGGTGGTTGGGCTGATGGGAGTTGTGATCTGAAATGTCTGGCAGGTATTTGATTGTCTTCACTTGCTGTATATTCTTACCCTGGAATAAGGCCCATTAACTCAGTAAAATACTGAGGAAACATACAGAGAATTGTGCTGTAAGTGGGTAGGAATCCATAAAATCAATTTTTCAGGATACTGAGTATCCAGAGAGTAAGAGTGAGCCACGCCTAGTCTAACCTGGTAGTCTTCCACTGATGGCAGCTTCTGATTGTAGGACCTCAGCAGAAGATCTCTCAAGAGTCCAAAGGATTTTGTATTTGCTTCTGGACTGAAAGCAAGGTATGCTGTTCCTGTTTTCTATTTAGTACATTTTTGCTGCTCTGTAGTGAGTACGTGAAGCTATTGAACTGCTGTCCTCTTAGCTTATTGCCTGCCTGAGCTCAGATTGTTTTGTATATAGTATGACTGCCTCCTATTTGTTTCTGACACGTCAAAATGCCTGATCCATTTTCAAGTGTTAAAGCTGCAATAATCACAGTAAAATTGCCTGCACTGTTACTCAGTGACCCATAAATGCCATTAAATCAGATCTGGAAAAGATAGAATTTTCAATCAAAGAAAAAATAGGGCCTTCCAAGAAAACAGCCCTAAGCCAGTCTTCATTCATTACTTTCATTTATTGTAAGAAAGGTTGTGTTGCTGTTCAGTCCTTTGAAAACCGGTCAGTTGAAGGTGAAACACAAAAACACAATTTTTCCCAACAGTTGTTAGAAATAAGAGGCTCACTGCTCTGCTCCTTTTCCGGCTAGTCTCTATCAAAATAGAAGCTACTTAGCCAGTGTGTTGTATTCACCGTTTTAACAGGTATTTTCCAAGATTATTCTCTTGACAGCTGCATGGCATGAAAGTTCACAGATGAACATTTTGCTGTCACTTCATCATGGTGACTTGTTCAGACAGCACAAGAACCCACACTCAGGGGTTGACTGTAGGGTCCCATCAGATGCAAAGGGACATACTCTCATGTAAGTATAGATAAGATTACAGCACAAGAAGTTATTGCGGAACCAGCATTTTCAAATATTTTTTGTGTAATGCTGTGACTTCACCCATCCATGTTTTTATTTATTTATGAGCTTCCAAGTAGACCGAAAAGTCTCTCTAAGTGGTGTACAACAAACTGAAAATTACAAATGCACAACAAAACATTAAAAATCATCATTACAATATAAATAGCAATTATAATAATTTAATAAGG